AAGTCCTTGATTGTAGGCGGACGTAGAGAGACGACATGAGATTATATTTCGGATTATTCATTTTACAATTCGAACATGAAAATATCACATGCACATTTTTAAATATTTTATTGCTCACTAAAATATAATGAAAATTCGATAACGAACGAAATCATTTCGCAAAGTTTTGGAATTGGAAATTTTTATTATCACACACTCGTAAATAACAATATCAATTCGACAAGAGAAATTTCGTTTATTTTGATATTTGCCATTGAATATTTTTCATACGTAATAAAATCTCAATCGGTATCTTAAATCTAATGAAACGAGAGGGATTTTTGATTAGTCAGTGGGATAGCTGATTGGAAGAAATCAATTTTATTTACAAAAGCAATAGAACAGAGAATGGTCTGGTCGAAATGCGCTTCGGCATTTATGAATTCAAATCGAAATAGTTCTGTAGATATTTATGGCCGTAATAGTGTATAATAGTGCTTGTTCTTGTGGCTCGCCCATGAATAATTTCTCTGAATGGTCATTACCGGCAAACTACTAAAGTAGCGATCGTACTTTTCTAATGCGCACACTTCTAAAGAAAGAATCCACTATTTGGAATTTTCTACGTTCATGAATTTGCGTTTGACGTAAAAGTTTCTTTTCGCGATAAATTATTTCATTCGATTGGACTATATTTAATTCATGCACTAAAGGGAGAAGGTGATCTATTCAAGTAACTGTTCAGATAGAATCGATTTTATTACAATCTTACAACTTTTTTATCATCAATTAATAATTTTAATGAGTTATTCAGCTACCATCAGATTGCTTCGATTTGCATAACGATTATAAAACTTCGATTTTTTTAGTTTAACTATTTAAGAAACTTTGTGAAAAATCGAATGGTGCTTTACTCATTAGGGGTTATCGTATTTTAGTATTTTCTGCATTCAACAGATGGTGCACTGGGCTTAAATTCATCGCTCTTTTTAATGAAATGATTATCTAATTTCAATACAGATACTTCTCTTTTTAAAGAACTGTTGATTCACTATATATATATATATATATATATATATATATATATATATATATATATTTGTGAAAACATATTTGTAATTTAGCTGAAAATATATTCTACCCGCGTATATTTTGTTCTCATGCGTTCAAATTAATCAGGTTTATCTTTTCTATATTAAATATTTATTTAATTATTACCTAGAATTAAACCTAGAAGTAGATTTACGTGCTACAGTTGGTGGCGCCTCTATGAATTACGGAAAAATCAAAATTGAGGTAATGTCAAAGCGTCCGTGTTTGTGATTTATTTAGACTTTTTTTATCTATGAATTTACTGTATCTTTAACTTTCTGAAGAAAAGGTTTGTTTCCGTAAAAAAAATCCGATTTGCTAATTATATGTTTTCTCGACGTTTCAAGTCATTCTGAATCGCTTGAGACCAAAATTGAAAAAAGTATGCGTGTGTATCTGTGTGAACAGATTTTTTGCCGAAAATCGACGTTTTCTCAAAAACGGCAGGACCGATTTCAAAAATTTAATAGAAATTTGATGTATCTCAATGAGGACTATCGTTTGTCAGTTTTGTGCAAAGATCTGCCGAGCCGTTTCTGTGTAATTTGAAAAAAATGTTAAACTTTTGGTCCACATTTAAGCTCATACTACCGAATCGATTTTAAAAATCAAAAACTGTTTGAAAGATATTAGTTGGGAATGATACTGATTAGTTTTAAGTGAAAATCTACCGAGCTGTTTTCTTGTAATTAACTGTTGAAAACAAATTAAGCCGATTTTTATGGAACTTTTTTTTGGCGATATATATATCATGGTCTTATAGAACTTACTGAAATATTCCGGCCTTACGACAAGTAGTTTAATTTTAAAAATTAATCAAATTTGAGAAAATAAGTAGTTTTTGACGTTTGTTAAAATTAAAATCAGACGATTTACTTGGTACAACGATAGAGTACTTGGTCTTAATGAACATACTGAACCATTAAAGTCTTACGGAAATTGGTTTAATTATAAATTTAAATTAACATTATTGATTTGTGAAAATTTGCTTTTAGAAAATACTCCGAGTTAACGTGTTCGTTCGTTTTCAATTATGTGTAATAAATGCACTCGGAATACTTTTAATCACTCATAAATTAATTATTTTTTTTATAAATAGAACGATAGGAAGTTCATATAACTTGCCTTAATGCAAAATATCAACTAGTTTTTGTACTATAGTCTATCCAACAAGTGATTCATTTTCCCTCCATATTGCACAAATACTACTCCTCAACAATTTCTTCGAGACCACACACAGTCAAAATATTTTTTGTGCAATAAAGTTATTACTCATATTGTCAGAAATGATAGATCTATCTTTTTCAATAACCGAATCGCGTTTTTGCAACAACTTTGTGTTTCTGAGAATGACATTGCGACGCCGTCGATATCGTGTCGCAATCTACCGCGTTGTTTTTCAGTATTTTACACAATACAAATATTGTTCTTTGAATTAATTCATTATTTATTTTATACAGCTATGCATATTCATCGCAGTAAATTACGATCGCGTTTTATAAGTGAAATATTACTACTATCGATGCTATTGCAAACGATAAATTAACTCTCAATAAAAATAAAAGGATTCTTTCATGATGTTTTTGAATTTTGTTTACTTTATATTTTTCTCTACCACATTCTGTGTATGAACAAAATTTTAGTTTTTACTTTTTTCACGGTCGGTCGCAAAAGTGAAAAAAATGTTTACGTGGGGCTACATATTCAATTATCGCGTCAATAAAAAAGCTTCGATAAATAAAATTTGCTTTTGTGTTTCAACTTTTTAGTATTACTCAATAATCTGATAATAAAATGCTAATAATTATACAGTGGGCATAGATAAATGTGTAAACAGTTCAGTATCATTTATTCAAATATGCATTTTAACCCTCAGTAGTTGATATAAGTACTAAGTAATTATATTATTAAAATGATGAGAAAAATTATAGAAGAGCTTATTTAAGGCTCAAGTGGTAAGAGCTTTGGTCTGGCACCCCACAAATTTCAATTTTCGTCCTGGACAACCTTATATCAAGCAGTAGTATCAGTGTTTACTTGAAATTATAGATCTAAATACAATTAAAATAGCATTTTAGGACATTGCTCAATATATCACATTACTTTAAGAAGTATCTCAACCAATAACAATCTATTTTTTTTTCATCTTTCTAACAATTAGAAAGGATAACCATTTGGTTGCTTGATGATAATGCTATGTTGTAAGCAATTACATCACAATGGCAATTCAATCAGTAATAAAAAAACCCAGTTTAAATAATTTTCTAATCTAATATAAAGGTTTTTATAAATACAATAGTATTAGATATTTAAGACCTTTCGTAATATTTTATTATATATACTTGTTTCAGACAAAATAAAAATACTGTTATATTCAGGGAATATTGATGAATAGACAAAAATATCAATGTAAAATTATCTGTCTTGTAATTTTGATGATAAAGCGAATTACGGTGAATATCAATACGTTGGGTCGATTTGAGGTTTATCTATCTTTTAAAATCCCATTTTGAGAAATGTTCTTGAAAAAAAACCTTTCCAAACAACCTCAATAGATTCGGGCCTAGGTGTCGAAGCTCTGAAATCTTCTTTAATAATTTCACCTAGGCTTTTCTTAGATTAATGCAGCGTTTCTCAAACTTATTTCTTCCGCCCCCTTTGAAGATCAAATTTTTGTATCGCCCCCCTACCAAATTTTTTATACAATCTCTGAAAACTGTTTTCTTTTTACATTCTTGTATTAATATAGTTATAGTGTGATATATTAGTTGATGCAACCTTACATTCTAAATTAGACATTTTACCAGTGAAAGCAAATAAAACGCAACTTTATGACATTAATCATATATTTTATATATTATAATCAAATTAATATAAACAGTATATAAAATTTTATTTTCAAACTCTAATGAGAAGGATGAATTTGATGGTTTTTTACAAGTTTGTCAATATCAGGTTCCATTTCACTCAAAAACAGTCGTAAGTCACCGCGTTTGGTAATTTGCAACTGATTTCTGTTTTTAGTAAGTAGCATTGTCACAGCGCTAAATCCACGTTCACACAAATATGACGATGGAAATGCTAGTAAAAATTTTGAACAACCAACCACAAGCCAGGATATAAGTGCTGAATTGACTTCTGTAGCCAAAATTGTTGATAACCATCTTTAAATTTGATTTTTAATTCTTCATTTGTAGTTAATTCTATAAGCTCTTCTTCTAGCTGGGCTGATGTTTCTACATTTGCATTTGAAAAAGGGTCTAATACCCAGCCTGGTATTTCCAAATTCAAAATATCTTGAAATCTTTCAATAAAATTGCCATGAAGATTTTCCAAATGTTGGCAGTACACGAGCAAGTCTTCGTTGCACGATACCGATAAATTTGGAAAATTATGAAACTCCCGTCTGCCAATATTTTTCTTATGTAATAACAGTTTTGCTATAAAAGCAGCGATGATATTTTTGTTTTTATTAAATTTAAGCCATCGCCTTGAAGTTGTAGATTCATATGTTGAGTAATGTATAAAGGTCTGTGAGATATGCTATATCATTTTTTGATGATATCAGGTCTTTACACAACTGTGTGTCCTTATTTTCTAAAAACTCTACAACGGAGTCAAACAGATTGTAAAAAACGGGTCAGACAATTTCCTTTTGATAGCCAACGCACATGTGTGAAATAACAATCTGTTGAATTCTTCATCATTAGCGGTACACAGCTGATTAAACAATCTCTCATTTAAAGAGTTGTGTCGGATTTTATTAATAGCTCTGATGACATGTTGCAATGCTTGATGCAATCGTTCACTTAAGTTTTTGGCAACTAGATGCTGTCGATGTATCACGCAATGCACAGCAAGAACATTGGGAATTTTTATTTTAGGTAGGCTATGAATCCTTTTGACAACCCCTCATAGCTGCAGCACCATCAGTAGCAACTGATATAATATTCTTCAATGGAATATCTTCTCATCAAAAAACTTCTCCAATGTTTTGAATATGGTTTCTCCTTTGTATCTGTCTCTAAATTTCTAACAAATAGAAGTTCTTGGCATACTTCTTCATCTTTAATGAACCTCACGTAAGTCAACAACAATGCTTCATTATTTGGTAAAGTAGACTCATCCAATTGGAGTGAAAATTTACAAGACTTCAAATGATTGCATAATAATTCTTCAATATTTTCAGCCATTTCATCAATTCGTCTTTGCACAGAACTATTACTCAAAGGAATTTTACGAATTATATCTGCTGCTGGTTTATGTAGCACAGTAGTTATAACTTCTTTTACTGCTGGCAAAATTAATGATTCTCCAATAGTGTGTGGTTTACCTGTTTGGGCAATTAACCGAGAGATATTGTATGACGCTCGAAGTCCGTCATCGTCCTGCTTAGCAGCGACAGAAAAAAGTTTTGACACACTAGGCTGAGCAATATACATCTTTTCCAGATTTCGAAAGTAGTCAACATTTTTATCCTTCTTATCCGGATGCATTCTATTCAAATGATCTTGAAGTCTTGAGGGCTTCATTGCTTCATTTGAAAATGTTTTTGAACACAGAAGGCATAAAGGCATACATGGGTTTATAGAATTTTCTATGAATCCATATTTAATATATTCTGCATTGTACTGACGCATCTTTTTTTTGCTTGCGACATGGCTTTTCTTTAAAAATTACGCGAAAAATGTTGGGTGCGATCAGTTTTAAAAGTTAATTTAGTGAACTGTAATATAGAATTATCCCGTCACCATAAAAAAATGAATAAAAACAACTATTATCTTTGCGAAATATCTTGATCTAATTTACATGCTTCTGCACTCATTACTCTACATTTGCTGAAACGCTACTGTTTCAATTTATAATAAAGTACAGATATTTATATGCAAGAAATTTTAAATATTAAAATTACCGTAGTTGAAAGTGCACCCCCCGTTGGGAGATTGTATGTACCGCTATCATTGCGGGGTTGTCTATACCTGGTGAGTTAGTCTATCTTTATGGAGTATTATGTTTTTGAGAACAGGTATTACATCTATATCTTTTTAAAGCAATTGTATTGTAAATGACCCTTTTTTAAACAATTAGAACATATACCCTTGCCGCTAATAAAACTTTCCGATCAGATTACGTCATGGAAAGAAATTTGGAACAGTTTATTATAGAATGATTATCTTTGCATGCATTGTCAATATTAATTGATCGGAAGAATAAATATTTTTTTTACAATTGTGTTTAATAAAAGTATTTAAATTTAATCTCCCTAATGCCGTTTTCATTGGCCTCCTAAAAATGCAAAAATTTCCAACATAGTCGGTAAATACTTTTGGGATATGTTAGTATTTAACTCCAAGTGAGTTGAAAATTGGTATATTAATTTTTGGTAAAAAGCTATAAAATGGCATCAAAATCGTTCAAATACCATGGAAATACGACCAAACATTGGAAGTACCAATTAATCGTTGGGATACAAATTCTGGTGAACTTAAAATGTAAAGTAAATAAAATTACAAATGCCCCCTAATCCAACGTCAACAACCAACATTTTTCGCGAGGCCTTTCATCGCCCCCCTGGAGTTCAATATCGCCCACCAGGGGGCGATATCGCCCACTTTGAGAAAGACTGGATTAATGCATAGATGGAATTTTGAATTTTGGCTCTCAGTTTTGGTACTGCTTCGGTAGCTTGATGTCAAGCAGCAGTGACCAAATGTTTTAAGTGGCAACAACCCTTACCCGGCAATGCTGCGTCATCACTATTACAGAAATAGTAATAATAAAATGCATCATAGAGATGGGACAACTATTTAGGTTGTCATCTATAAAAACCGACGTAGTTGGTTAATAGTGGCGTAGTTAGCTTATAGGACTTTATACAAAAACTAGTGGGGCATGGCATCGTGCTTATACTAAATTGCTGGAACTTCCCGTACTGAAAATTAAGGTTAAAAAAAAACTTGAAAATTTGTTAAAATCGTTGAAAAAAGAGATTTTTGAGATTTTTGAAATTTCTGAAACAAATTGACTCTTTTGAAAAATTTATTTTTTTATATTTTAAAATTTTTAATTATAAATAAATTTTGAATTTTTGTCAAAACTGCTAGACCTGCCTCTCCAATCTAATCAGTTCTTCACTTTGTGAATACAAGTAAAATGTTTTTTGAATTATTCAAATCGCACAATTCGTTATCTCAAAAACTGAACTACAATTTTTGGCACTTTTTGCTGGACCTGTTGCCAAAAACTTATCAGCACGTCTCCTTATCAATAAGAATAGAATGTTTTTGAATCATTGAAACCGGTTGATCGGTTGCTCTTGAAACCGTCGACAAAAATTGTATCCGCACACACACACATACACAAACATCAATTTATTATAAGGTATGCCAAAATGTTCAGAAACGTTTGAAACGTGAAGATGTATTAAAAATGTTCATTTACAATTTTTTGCGATTACTATAACTT